TTTTTTTTTTTTTTTTTTTTTTTTTTTTTTTTTTTTTTTTTTTTTTTTAAGCCGTGAACGTATTTTATACGATGAACCAAATCAGATGTTAATAAGACATGTGACACCAAAAATTGCGGATTATTTCGTTTGTATGTTGCTGAGATTTTTCTACACGATACGAATCGAACGTCTTCAAACAGGTAAATCAGATGGCGAGTGTAGACATTTTTCTCAGGCTTTGTTGAATGTTCTGCTCTACGGGTCTTACGCAGCCCGTGGTATATAGTGTGTGTTTTTTGCGGATTTAGTCAGCTGTACAGATCACGTGTTCTCGTGTAAATTTGTCTCGTAGCTTCCAAATTTTATTTTATTTTATTTTATTTTATTTTATTTTATTTTATATATGTATATATATATATATTTTTTTTTGTCACGGATATCCGCTTTAAAACTTGTCGGCATAACCCAGACGAGATTGTCTCTCGAGGAATTGGTCGACAGCCGATAATAGACGGCTAAGAAAGTTTTTAGACGTTACACAGCAATCATCCAACACCAGCAGTTACGAAGGCCAAGCAACACCAATACTGCTTTAAGCTGCAAGAGTTCAGAGGAGTTAGAGGACAGTGAGCCTGGACCATGTCCGGTCGTCTCGTACGCATAGACAGAGAGACAAAAAAAAAAAAGAACACTGTGTGTGTACGTGTGTGTATGTAATGTGTGAAAAGAAGAGATAGAGAGAGAGAGAGAGAGAGAGAGAGAGAAAGAGAGAGAAAAATAAAAAAAGAATAAGGGGACGCAGTTTTAGCTAGGAATACTACGGATCACAGCCCGCGCAGTACTTGTTTATCTAGGCCGATGAATCTATAAGTGTAGTAGTTAGAAACAGACAGAGTTACGANGGAGGAGATTTTTATATGCCGCGGGTAATCATAAGGAAAAAGGAACTGTGATTTACTGTGTTGGACGTGAATGTATGTGCGTGTATATACGGAAGAGGGCAGTATAATAGCAAACGAGACTAACACAACGCCAGATCGAGACCGCTGTCTTGAGATGGCCTCCTAGGGCTAGGGCTGGCGGGTCGCAAGAAAAGCCTCTCGTCTTGTCTTCTCGCTTCGAGTCGATTCAATTCTTCAGCGATCGCCGTGTGACCGTTCTCCGCCGCTAACTCGGTCGCAGTTCTGTTCTGACAATCCCTCACGCGAAGCGCCATTGCGTTCCATCTGTGTGCGTGTGCAAACGGACGTATGTTGACAACTCGAACCAATGAGAAAATGGCTACGAATATCTGCAAAGCGATACGAACCTGTACAGAATTCTGGCAGTATCCGCGTGCCCTGCCGCGCAAGCCCAAGCGAGCGGCGTAAGACCTGCGCTATCTTGCCTCAGAGCATCGACCTCGGCATCTAACACGCTACTAGGATTTTCCGCTCTCCAGTGAAGGAGCGCACAAGCCAACCTGGAGTAGCCCAATCCTGCGGCCAAATGTAAGAGAGTAGGGCCGCCGGATTGTAACGGTTCCGCTCCGGCTCGCCACGGACGGACAACAGCATCCTGAGACAGATAGACGATCGAGTTCGTTCGGATCGAAGAGAAATGTACGAAAAAAAAGTGTTGAAATTGGACGAGCTTGCTCACTTGACAATACGCCACTAATCGCTCTTCCAGATGCGCTGCGGGAGACGGCGGACCCGGTCCTTGCAAACGTGACTCAACGTCCGCCAAACGGTCCAAGAGAGCTCGTTCCGGGCTTGGCTCGGTTGTTGGCGCGCGACGATACTCGAAAGCAACGCTATCGGAAACGACGAACCCGTCACACGCCACCTGAAGAGACGCTATCCCCGGAGCATGAGCTGGACAACGACACCGCAACACTCCTGGTTGTACCAAACACGCTTCGACCGGTTCGGCGTCGAACAACACCGAATAAGATTGAGAATTACTCCCACCGGTCCAAGGACCGGCTACCAATACCTGGAAACGGAGAATTAAATTCCATCGCTTAAACTCTCCTAATTCGTGATTTCAAAACTTCGACCAACGTCGCGCAACTATCATCCCCTCCTATCAATTATCATCCAACTCACCTTTACGCCACCTTCGGTATAACTCCACTCCGGACTGTACTCCGCAATATGGACGGTTGTTCCAGGATGACATCCCACGTCGTTATCGGACCCTCCCCTCTCCTCGGCCTTAGTCTGCTCAGCCTCGAAATCGTGAAGCTCCGGCAAATCACCGAACACGTCGAACGCGTCCAAATTGACGAGGACGTCGTCCGACGAATCGATGAAATCCATTGGATTGATCATACTGTTGTCCGCCGGGGAAGGGGACGGGGATGGTGGTACCATGTTCGCGGATAACGTTCGCTGAATGTCCTCTTGACTCAGGTCCAAAGTCTCGGCGAAATCGGTGAC